AACTTTGTAATGTACTTAATTTTCACAGTTACACACACTATAGTTCACAACAATTCACTCACTTTCTATCGCGCTAAGACTTAATCGTCCGTCCCTGCAAACTATAGTTCCGATCTCTGTGTCTGCTATCCTCAGCTCCCGCCAACTGTAATCTCTGTCTTTCTTTCTCTCTGCCTGCTTCGTCTCTGTCTCCACTACTGCTTCGACTCCGTCTGTCTCTCTCACTGTCTAGCGCACTTATATACAATAATACTGCCTGTTCTAGAAACTTTTAAGACTCTCAGCACGTGCTACCAGCGTCACTTGACTTCTGCTGTCGTCACATGACCCCCGCTGTCATAACACACTAGCGAATCTTCTAGAATACTCGTCACGTGACCCCACTGTCGTAACACTGCCCCTTCCTTAGTATTGTTCATCCCGAACAATAGCCACTTACATTAAACTAATAAACAATTAACAATATCTTAATTAAATGTACAGAATTTACAAATACAAAATTAAAATTCAACAAAATCTTTTAATTTGTCGGGACATATCTTCTTCCGCACTGGTCTCTGTCTCGTTGGCTTCTGCTTCATATGGGGTTCATCTGCTTCATCAGGAAACGTCCTATCATTGATAACAGTCACATCAGTAGTAGTACCTTCATCAAGGGCTTCACTATTTCCCTTCTCAAAACCGAATATAGTTTCTTCTTCGACAGTGTCTTTTTCAGGTGACATGTCTTCAGCAGCGTCATTTGTGTTTTGCATCCTGCTTGGGAGAAGGTATCTAGTCTAAGCATAGTGACAAAGAACTATTGGGCACAATGGGATCAGTTGAAGCTTGAAGATGGTATTCTTCTCCAGAGATGGGAAAGTGACGACCTGGCAAACGGTTATCCCGAGAAAGTTACGGGAAGTTGTGCTGCACCAATCCCATGATACTTTAACAGGAGGACACCTCGGAGTTAAGAAGACATTGAGTCACCTACGACAAAGATTTTACTGGATAGGTATGAGGCAAGATGTGGAAGAATGGTGCAGGACATGCAGTACATGTTGTGCTAAAAGGGGACCCAAGCATAAGGGACGTGCTCCAATGAAGTTATATCAAGTTGGTGCACCAATGGAAAGAGTAGCCGTCGACATTGCTGGTCCTCTGCCCCAAAATCGTGCTGGAAACAAGTACATTTGTGTGGTGATGGATTATTTCACCAAGTGGCCTGAGGCATATGCAATACCAAATCAAGAAGCTACAACTGTAGCTTCTGCTATTAGTGATTTCTTCTTCAGATTTGGTATGCCATACGAACTGCATTAAGATCAAGGCCGTAACTTCAAATCGGCTGTGTTCCAAGATAGTCGCCAAGATGACTGGGATGTCTTACTACCTCCACTGCTGATGGCTTATAGGACAGCAGAGCATGAAGCCACTGGATACACTCCAGCAAAGTCGATGTTTGGTCGGGAACTTCGGTTGCCAGTGGATCTGTTAACAGGACGCCCACCTTATGAAGAGTTGCTTGAAAATGTGTCAGAGTTTGTGAAAGTGTTAACAGAAAGGATAAATGATATTCACAATCAAGTGCGCTCAAACTTGAAAACGTCTGCTGATTCGATGAAGTTATCTTATGATAAGAGATCTACTGAAGTTAGCTTTGTACCAGGAGACAAGGTGTGGTTGTATAATCCCAGGAAGACCAAAGGGAAGTCTCCTAAGTTGTCTTCTCTATGGGAAGGCCCATATGACATAGTGGATCGTCTCTCAGACGTGACTTTCCGGATAAAATGTGGTCAGCGAGGTAAGCCAAAGGTGGTGCATGCCAACAGGCTTTGGCGTTATCACGGTCCAGGACATTTCAGTTGGGATGAAGTGAACAATGGAAGCAGAAAGCAGTATATCTTAAAAGAAACAAGAAGAACGAGAAGAGAGATTACAACAGTTGTTGGAGGAAAAAGAAAAGAAGCAAGAAGAACGAGAAAAGAAACAAGAAGAGAGACAACAGCAGTTGCAAGAAAACCTGCAACAGTGGCAGCTCGACCAACAAAATAAACAAGAGAGACTACAGCAGTGGTTGGAGAAGAAAGAAAATAAGCAAGAAGAGAGATTACAGCAGTGGCAACTGGAACAATAAAGGAAACAGGAAAAAAGTCTCCAACTGTTGCAAGAAAGTCAGCAGCAACTACAGGAAAGTCAACAACAGTGGCAAGAAGTACAAATGAAAAACATTAGTAAATTTAAAAGCGAATTAGATACATTAAAGGATGATCTATTGTCTTTTACACAAGGAGGATACATTGACCATCAACTTAATCAGCCCCAGACAATGGCAAGCCCCTTACAGAGCCCACAGCTAAACCCTAATGCAGAGATATTCAGTCCCGTTAGAAGTCACATCCCAGATATGAATGTTAGTAATAGGAGTGATCCAGTGCGAAGGAAACCACAGGAATATGATGGGAAAGCACCGTGGGAAGCATATAGAGCACAGTTTGAGCTACTGGCAGAGATGAATGGATGAACAGAGGAGCTGCTCTTGTATTGCTGCCATCAAATCTGCTAAGCTGTAGTTTGATTTTCCACCTCTCGTTTCCATCTTCTTCTTTTATTCTCTATCCCACTTCTGACACCAATTTGTTACGTCTCTGTATATTTGCTTGTTAATTCTTACGAGATACAAGTCCTTTCTTTACAAAACTTGTTTATTCTTCCTCAATACAACTTAATTTTCACAGTTACACACACTATAGTTCACAACAATTCACTCACTTTCTATCGCGCTTAGACTTATTTGTCCGTCCCCGCAAACTATAGTTCCGATCTCCGTGTCTCCTATCCTCAGTTCCCGCCGACCGTAACCGCTGTCTTTCTTTCTCTGCCTGCTTTGTCTCCGCTACGTCTCTGTCTCCACTATTGCTTCGACTCCGTCCATCCCTCTCACTGTCTAGCGCACTTATATACGATAATACTGCCTGTTCTAGAAACTTCTAAGACTCTCAACACGTGCTACCAGCGTTAGTTGATGCAACGCTGTCGCAACACACTAGCGAATCTTCTAGAATACTCATCACGTGACCCCCACTGTCGTAACAATATATATATATATGTGTGTGTGTGTACTCTGAGCTAGTTGAATTGCTATTAAATAACATAAGAAATAATCAGAGCAAATACTCCCACAACTGACTGATTTTTACATTTATAGCTTTTTTTACATTTATTTATTACCAAGAGCCTCCAGCAGGCCGTTGGACCACCAATTAAAGTTGCTCCCCAAATACCTGTACTTATTTTATAACTACTTTGTATGTCCATAGGCTTATGAATTAAAACTATACAGTACCTATTTCCTGTGTACAAATAAACTTTTTAAAACATCTCCAAGCCTATAGATATTACACTATTGATTTCTAATGCGTAAATGATCTTTATAATACATCTGCAGGCTTACGAAAGAATAGAAAAAGAATATGAAGAGAAAAGTGCCAAATTGGAAGAAGAATACAAACTTCAGTCAGAGCTCTCTACATTAGTGTCTCTTGGTAATGAATGGTCAGAAATAACCTCCCTGTGATAGATTATTTGTTTCAGGTATGTACACTTTATGATATAAATATTTAAAAGTCAGATTGACTTATTACTGCCAAAAAGTGAAAATAACATATTTTATAGAATTATTTAGGGGTTATGTTTTAGTGAATAACTGAGTCTTAAGCTAGGGAAGACTGACAGTTTGTATGCATTTTCAATGTGATTTATTTACTTTTATGATGATATGTGATCTCCAAGTATCATTAAGTTTGTATGTTCTAACATCTATAGCCTTAAACACTGAAGCTGTATTTATGCTCCTGATGAAATTTTGTTTAGTATTTGTACACACAACAGCGTTTATTTGCTGTTTTTGATTTTCTGTAGAGCCTTGTTTGTGAACAGCTGTAGTTAGATCTTCCTCATCAAGCACTGTTGTTGCAGCAACCCAGGCATTGTTCTTTCCTTGTTACCTATTGTAATGCAGCCCATTTCAGTAGTCACTTCCTCTGCTGTCTCTAGAAAGCACATGGTTGCTATTAATATCAGTTGTGAAGCAGATAATGCGTAGTGACGATCAGCAACATTCATGTTTGTTGGAGCCAGTTCTCTGATTCTAGAAGGTAACAATCTGTGACTACTTCTATGTGACTGGTTAGTTACCCTTTGTTATGGGATACCTTCATTTTAAGCACTATTTTTCATTGCCTTGTCAGTAATTAGTGTTAGGTCATGTTGTTAAAAATGTTGTGTAAATAAATAAATATATATATATTTGTGTGTGTACAGAAATATATGAGTTGTGTTATAAAATTCCCAAGGACTGTTGTTTATAGGTAAATTTTGTATGAACAGTCCTTGAATTAAAGGAAGTTATGCTATTGGCAACAGTTAATACTATCTTCACCAGACTAAGTTGTTTTAGTAAATAAGCTTCTAGTGACCTTATCAGGTCATTCATCATGTGAGTTAGTGCACTGCACTAAAATAAAAGTAATCATTGGGAAATTGTAGTGTTGAAACACTCTCTCATTTATGTTGTTTCATATGACATTTGTTCAGTTCTTTTGTCAACCTAACTTCTTCTTTGGCTTATAGCCTAAGAAAACTCAACTGATTCTGATAAGTTAATTAATCACTAAGAGTACAAATCATACATAGACACACTTTGAATCCTTTATATTTTGCTAACATAACCAAGTTCCATTTCACTGAGGTTTTAAAGCTATCAATAGGTTATGTAATAGATTGGTAAAAATGTTTTACTCTTGAGTAATGAGTAACTAGACATGAGGGAGTTATGTGTTATTAAAATGTTGTGGAATATTTTTATTATTATTTATACTTTAGAAAAAATCAAAATATTAATTTGGTAGTCACTTTGATAATGATCTCAGTGTTTATAAGTAGATGAATGTTTTCAGTTGTTTTAAAGTTTAAGGTTTACAAGCTTAAATAACATAATGAAACATGCATCATAAACTAGAATTTAAATATTTGCAAGTTAAAAGAAACTTAGAGTGTACAATTTTCAGTAATTCTAAGTTACATGTTTTTGCACTGTTTCCACATTACTTTTGCCATGGCATTCCTTAATTCTAAGATACAACATGCAATCTATAAAGCTTGCCCTTAGATGCCCAGTCTTTCATACAAGTGGCCATTACATTATCAAATATATTTCAATAGCTGCCAAGAATTCAAGTGACAGCACCTCAATCACCTTTCATCATAAAGTACATTTTTGGCATATAATAAAAATTTCTGTGATTTAATGTCACAATAAGAAAGTATTGGAACTAATATTAATTACTGAAAATGACCAAAATTAACTGAGATATGAATATAAGGATGTACTTCTACTTAAGATCAAGCAGACCTGTTAATATCACCTCCCTCTAAAGGACACTTTCACAAGTCAGAAAATATTATACATTGAAGTCAAGTTCTACTGTAAGTAGTGACTGTGAATACTACACATAATTCATAGAAATCTTACATTCAAAGTTGTGGCTATGAATACTACACAGATTCATATAAGTTGTACTTTCAAAGTTGTGGCTGTGAATACTACACAGATTCATATAAGTTATACTTTCAAAGTTGTGGCTATGAATACTACACAGATTCATATAAGTCATACTTTCAAAGTTGTGGCTATGAATACTGCACAGATTCATATAAGTCATACTTTCAAAGTTGTGGCTGTGAATACTGCACAGATTCATATAAGTCATACTTTCAAAGTTGTGGCTGTGAATACTACACAGGGTCATACATATCTTACTTTCATTATATCGTGTAAAGTCTGTATGTGTAAGTGAATTATAAACTTATTTTAGGAGTTACATACCTGAAACTGTGTTTAGAACTTTATAGTCATACTAGTTATTGTGTTATGATTCAGAACATCCTTTACTGTCATATGATACTTTAATGCAAGATGTTCACAGACATAAAAACTGATAATTCAATCTTTTTCAGTTAAGTAAAACTCTGAGGACATATGTGACTGCTAAAGATTTTTTATATCTTTAGTTCATATTTCTGAATTCAAAACTAGTAGTAAAATTGTCTGGTTGACTGTCCTACTGAATAACATTAATAAACAACATACATTTCTGAAAAAATGCAATTCAAGTAATTAATGAACTTAATAAACATTTACTTTCTTGAAATTTAGTAATGAAACTTTGAACTGGGTTTTTAAGAATTTTCAAACCCAAAATTGATTTTGCAGATATATATCATGTCAGTTCTTAAAACAGAAAACAAAATTTGTATTTTTAGATAGTGAATATTGTTTATACCTTACTGTTAATAATTGTTTTGTTTGTATAATGATTTTATTTATTTTGTAATAGATTCTTTAAGAGTATAATTAATCCCAATGATCTTTCACACATTTCTGTTCTTTCTTAACAAGCATTACACCATTCCATGAATCAATGTCTAGTCCAATTTGATGTTTCAGGATATGTCTTGACTTTTTTATTTACACAGTTCACAAAAATTAGCAAATATAATAGTTGAATTGTTTTTACAAACTTGAGATTCAAAGTATTTTATACTGCTTGTATATTTACTTAATTGCTAATTGACTTACATTTTTCATCAGTCTGTATGTTAACTGTGTATGTGTTTTTTTTGGCTATTCTTGCATTTTGTACTTCTTTGGGTTGGAAAAATATGCATTTTTTTATAGTAAGAGAATTTTTCTTTGACAAGGAGGATCATTTACATTTATATTACCTTCTTTATGATGTTTTTTTAATTTTGGTTTTTGCTTTACATCAGACCTTAACATATCATAGACCTAATTCATTATAATTACTAATGTTGTTAACTAGAAAATAGTGAAGGAGAATATTTCATTTGAATAAAGTGTTTTTCAAATAACACTTTGAAATCTACAACACAAAATTGTGATTTTGGTGTTAAAAATACAGATTGTAAACTCAAAATGTTACCTCATTTTAAGAAAAAGAGTTCTATGTTTAGTTATTGCTAAATTTGAATGTCATTTGATCTCAAGAAAAAACGTTTTTAGAGTAGCATTTGCTAATCCTGTAAATGAAATATTGAAAATTTAAGATACATTTGTTTTAATATAATTCTTTTAAGGTGCTCCTGTTTTAAATCTTTTGATTATTTGTTATTCAGTCATAAACTTTTCAGCTACCATGACACAGAATTTTTATTTAGATTAAAAATTATATCACTGAAACATTAACATTTCTGTTTTGATCTGCTTGATAATGTTCCTAATTCTAGTTTTCTCAAGCACTTTTCCCTTGGTCTATTTTACTCTGTATAAGTATGACATAGTAGTGTTTTTAATTAATGGTGATGTCTCCATTACTTTAAAAGTCATTTAATGATGGGAATAAGTAGACATCATCTTACCTATATTAGTTGTATTTAGAAGAAAACCTGCAAAATAAAACGTCACCCAGTTGTAAATATCATAACTACAGATTATGATGTGGAAAGATTTTGAAAGACAACCAAGACAAAAGAAAAAAATCAAGGTTTTGTGTGTGTGTGTGTGTGTATTCAGTAAAATTTACAAAAAATGTAATTATTAAGATAAAATAAATATGATACATCATTTTATATTTTTTATGAGAACTTTAATAATAAACTTCAGACTTGTGGGATATCTTGGTATTAACAGTACTCTTATGTAGTACAACCACCAATGTCATTAAAGACTGAGTAAATCCAGTTTATGTAGAACATTTACCAGTATCTTGACCAACTGAGTGAATCCAGTTTATGTAGAACATTTACCAGTATTACTCAGTTGGTCAAGATACTGGTAACTGTTCTACATAAACTGGATTCACTCAGTTGGTCAAGATACTGGTAAATGTTCTACATAAACTGGATTCACTCAGTTGGTCAAGATACTGGCAAATGTTCTACATAAACTGGATTTACTCAGTTGGTCAAGAATCCAGTTTATGTAGAACAGTTACCAGTATCTTGACCAACTGAGTGAATCCAGTTTATGTAGAACATTACCAGTATCTTGACCAACTGAGTGAATCCAGTTTATGTAGAACAGTTACCAAAATGATCATGCTTAAGTCTATCAGAATGGTATTGTAAAATACACTCCAGCTTATTTAATATAATTTCCATGTTCTTTTTACAATAAATTCCTCAGGTTCGTGTATGATTTATTGAAAGAATGTTATCTAAAATCTAGGTTAAAAACACCAAATTTTAAGTATGCTTTTCTATCTTTGTGTCTTTAACTTTTTTAAATCACTGTGTTCATATTTTTTAAATATTCCAAGTTCATTATTGAGAAGAGTCAATTCAGTATATGGAGAACAACTATCAAGAAGGTGTCTGGTAAGTTAATTTAGCTTGTTGAATTAGTAGTTACTAAAATTTCTGTTGTCACAAATACAATTCAATATCAAGCTGAAGATAAACTTATCTGTAATCCACAGTTACCTGTTTCACCACCTTAGAAAAGTTTTAAGAATACCCTGTTTTTTGTTTTCTTTATGGTCAGCAACAGCCTGTAGTAGAGATGATTGATTCATCTCAATGCTTCAAATAGCTTTCGTTTCCCATCTTCAGGTTAAATTTACATCAGCATTTGAATTTACCAAAATCTGAAGACAGGAAACAAAAGTTACCTGAAACATCAAGATGTATCAACCATCACTACCACAAACTGTTACTGACCATAAAGAAACTTCCTCATATATCATAGATACAGGACCTAAACCACCCATCAAACAATACCTTGGGTTAAACTTACTACCACAAAGAAAATCAGAAAGGATATCAAATAGTCGTCTCTCACAACCCTAATGTTCAAATTGGCCACAACAGCAAAGTGCCATATTAACTCACACATCTAGTAACATTTAACACTGCAATGGAAACTCTCCATGTTTGGTCTAGCCTGAATTCTTCTGTTAAGAGTCTAATTTTGAAATATCCAAAATATAATTCCTGAACTTTCACTGGATATCAGTTCCTATATTTATCAATTATCGTAAAAAAAAAAGAATTGATGCTAAAATGTTATTCAGAACTTGCAAACAATACTCTTAAAATACTGAATAAAAATTAACATCTAAGTCATTCTCCTTGATTCTCATTAGACAGCTGTTGAATTTACAATGTCTGTCATCACTACTCTGTAACTTATTAATAAGCATGAATCTTCATTTTTTCTCATGAAAATGAATCTCTGGTTCTTGCAGTTGAGTGTACAGTGCAGAAGAGATTATCTACTTAATTTCCAAGCTGAAAGTTAAAAAAAAAAACATGTAACAATAGAATATAATTTTAACATTGTGGTAGCTGTGTTGAAAAAACTTATTGCTGTCTTTCAGAAGTAACTTTCTACACAAAATGTTTTAAAACTTATATACAACTTATTTTTAATTTTAATTTGATGTTTTAGCAGTTTGTCATTTTCTTTTCTTATCCTCCATTATCCATACCTTAGCACTTTGTTGGCAAATACAGCTGGGTGATTAATGGAATTTGATAACTGATTAATCATTAGGCTCATTAATTGATAACATCCAACTAATCACTTATTCTCACTTGAGACTTGGATAGTTTAACTAATCAAAAACCATAACAATCAGAAACACTACTTTCATTTAGTTGATTATTTTGAACAATCCTAATGCACAAATAAAACACCAAGTTTTTTTGGTTTTTCTCTTGAGAGGCCTATGATATGCAGATGAGATGATCTGCTTGTTTCCCATCTTCACATGCTGTCATATCACTGGGAAGGATCTCTCTACATAGGAAGTTAAGCTAAACCACTGGTGAATTCAAATTCGATGACGAGGAACCCCCTTTGAGACTAATAATGGCTGGAGATGGCTTGAATGGGTAATGAAGAAAAACTTTAATACAACAGCAAATGTTTTGTCATCATCAGTACCTGATGATGACAAAACATTGTCGAAACGTTGTACATTTGCTGTTGTATTAAAGTTTTTCTT